CTCACACTCTCTCTCACTCACACTCTCTCTCACTCACACTCTCTCTCACTCACACTCTCTCTCACTCACACTCTCTCTCACTCACACTCTCTCTCACTCACACTTCTCTCTCACTCACACTCTCTCTCACTCACACTCTCTCTCACTCACACTCTCTCTCACTCACACTCTCTCTCACTCACACTCTCTCTCACTCACACTCTCTCTCACTCACACTCTCTCTCACTCACACTCTCTCTCACTCACACTCTCTCTCACTCACACTCTCTCTCACACTCTCTCTCACTCACACTCTCTCTCACTCACACTCTCACTCACACTCTCTCTCACTCACACTCTCACTCACACTCTCTCTCACTCACACTCACTCACTCACACTCACTCACACTCTCTCACTCACACTCTCTCACTCACACTCTCTCACACTCGTTTTATCTTGTTTACTCACCTCTGACCCTACATTAAGACTACAAATATTACATTAAGACTACAAATATTATGTGTGGGTGGGGTGGCGTGGTATGGTAGCCCGGCTGACTACCATACATACCACACTTGATTTCTTACAATAAATACTACTCATCTCACCCTAGATTAAGACTACAAATATTTTAAAGTAATGAGTGTACTATATGTGTATTTTACTATTTTTTATTGTTTTTAATGCCTAATTCTATTGCAAACTTAATATATGTTAGTGTAAACTTGTTTGTCAAGTATTTATATACATTTATAAGTGGAAAAAAGGTGTTCCACTTTACGGCGATTTCCTCTTTACGGCGGTAATCTGGAACCTAACCTGCCATATAAGTGGGGCCCTACTGTATATATTTCTAGACAATAGTATGTCATGAAGGTAGGTGAAAATGTTCACCTATCAATGTTTGTGCAGTTATTGTGTAGTGTACAACAAGTCAATGTATATACAATATGCCTTATATTGGTCTCACAGGCCATAAAAGTTACTTGAAAAATTAATATATTAAAAAATAAAGAAAAAAGTAGAATAAAAGTAAATACAACATTATCAAGTGAATGGAAGTCCCCGATGTTGCTGTAAGCAGTTCACGTTGTCAACTTCACGCCTCTATATCTCGGTAAGTATTGATCGGAATTTTTTTTTTTTACTAAAAACTTAGGAAAATAGTCTTAAGATTTTGGTAAGAAAAAATAATATTTTTTTCTAATTTTTTCGACCCTGAGTGGGAGTTAAGGATCGAGGATCTCGACCCTCAAAAGGTTAACAATAATAATAATAATATTAATAATAAATACAACATTGTTTAGCTTCCAACACAATGCATGCATGCATGAATGCTTGCTTGCTTGCTTGCTTGCTCTCGCTCTCTCTCTCTCTCTCTAATATTATTGTGTACACATTTTCTTTGGTGTTCAACTAAAGAAAACGTTGTTCTTTCTGACACTCTGAGGACTAGAAAAACTTCTCATATTTATGTTAATTTATTCTACTGTGATGTGTACTTATCATGTTTGTATGTTACGTAGCATGTTTATTACGTACATAATTTAGAAAAAAATATCATGGATTATTGAAAATGTGTATATTAATGTAATATACAACATTTAATGTGCCTCAGAGTGATTATTATTGCGTATTATTATAATTATCGTTATTACTATGGTGTCTTCAAGAATAAGAAGACACTCTTCGTGATTTTAATGTGTACCTGCACACCGCACAGTGTGCAAGTTTATTTAGGTATAGGTACACATAAGAATAATTATCAGGGTATACATAAAACATGAAATAACTTTAAAACACTTGAAATTTTGAAAGGTTTCCAGGTATAATGGAGACACGGAGCTCACGGAGAATGTAAACAAACCAGGTGTGACACAGTGACCATATTAGAAAGTCAGGTGGAGGGAATTGTATAGCGTGTTTTGGTCATAATTTGAAATGTCCGTATTAGCAGAACGCCGTAAAGCAAAATCACTTTATTGGATAGTTGAAATAGTTGATTGTGTACTTTCTTGTGCCGAGCAGATAAAATGGAAAACCTACTAGTGAAATAGCTATGAATCTGGTCTATTGGAACAATGTAATTGGCCTAACATAGGACTCAAATTGGGCAAAATCGCTGATAAATAAATATCATAGACAGTAAGGTATATGAAAGTGTAATTTCATAAATTTTTCCATCAAATTTCATACTTTGTTTTATTACCCTCAGAAAAAGACTTTCTCCTAATTCATCAGAAAAAAAATTCTAAGTTCTTAGATACTATGAACTTTTCAGATCAGGGGTCTGGACACTCAAAGGGGTTAGAGAGGATCATCTTATAATAGTAGGTACATGAATGTCAGCTATACAGGATGTCACTCTCCTATCTTTCAGAAGCATCATTCATTAGGTACCTTTTATTTCTTTTCCTGAACTGGATATCAGCTAATTTTGATGGTACTGGTTTCAGTCTTAAACCAAGTATTGGTATCAATGGGTATTTGCTAATTTTGATGGTATTAGTAATGCTACTGGCTAATTTCAACTGTATCAGTATAAGTATTTGCAAAAATCTCATCCTTAAAGAAAATTAAAGTAATTAAAATTGCAGGAGTTGTTTATATAAGGAATTAGAATCTGGAAGACACCTCAAGACAAGAAACACAAATGAGAGTTACAAGGAAGTTACTGTACACATCCAAAACTTGGGCTACAGTGTAGTTTAACTCTTTGAGGGTCGCCAGGCCCTCTCAGAGACTTGTTCTCAGGGTCGCCCAAATTTAAAAAAAAAAAAAAAAAGTATTTTTTCTTATGAAAAGATAGAGAATCTTTTCCCGATCATAATGACACCAAAAGTATGAAATTTGATGGAAAACTTATGGAATTATGCTCTCGCGAAGTTAGCGGTCTTGACGATGTTTACGCATCGGCGATTTTGCCCACTGAGCCCTATTTTCGGCCAATTCCAGTGTACTAGTTGACAAAAATCATAACTATTTTGCTAGAACTCCGTTTTTTCTATCGAATGAGTACAAGAAACCACCCATTTACCGATTTCAACTATCCAATAAAGTGGTCAGAATTTAGCAATTTTGCCAATTTCACACAAATTTCAAAAGATGCCAATTTCCAAATAGGGTCCAGAATAAGCAAGAAAGACATTCCTGGCACTAAAATAACATTTCCTCTGTTCATTAGTCACGTCCCCAGGCCCCTCTTACATTTCTTTTGCTTTCCACTTTGATTTTTTTTATTCTCACAAAAATAATAAGATTTACTATTATGCAGACTACTGCATTAGTGTAGAAATGGTATAAATAATATCGGCGCACTTGTGAAAGAATATTAGACTCACCAGTTGACGTGTATTGGACACTTAGCATGATTTGTTTACTTTTGAACTTTGGTAAAAATCGAACATTTCTGCTACTTTGAGCTCAATTTCAAGGTACTTTTCACTGTAAAACCAGTCAAAAATCATCTCAATTTCTGTAATATGTCTTCCAATCTATACAATGAGACTAGGAAAACTAGAATACAACAATAAATACCATATAAAAATACAGTGCAAAGTCAAAGTTTTTTTTCTCATTACGCACTGTGCTGCAGGATTTTTTTTATACTGCGCACACTGACCACATAGACCCATTCTTTCATATGTAGGTCTACCAGCTTTCTCTTGCTAGATCTGAGGTCGCTAGAATTTGTGTGTACTAGTACGTCAAAAACCCTGGCGAGTAAGCCGTACTAGTACGGCCAAAACCCCGAAAGGGTTAACATAAGTCAAAAAGAAAGAAAACTTAGTGTAGAGAATGCTGATATGCACAAATGCACTTTTATTGCTTTTTGCAGTAGGATAACTTAGAGTCAACAGATGTACAGTGGTACCCCGAGTTTTGTACAGCTCCCAACTCGAACAATTATGTAAGTGTATTATTGTTAAGTGCTTTTGTAAGTGTATTTTTGGGGTCTGAAACAGACTAATCTAGTTTACATTATTCCTTATGGGAACAAATTCATTCGGTAACAGCACTCGAACAGCCTTCTGGAATGAATTATGGCCAAAACTCAGGATACCACTGCATGTAAAAGATCACAACCAAAGACAAGTGTCTCTGGTTGTGATCTTTTACATACAGTAATGAAGTTTACTTTCTGGTAGATCAAGAATTCATAAGGGAAATATCAGGAGCTCTCTCTCCAGTTTACCATGTTCCTGCAGATTACATCTCAAGATATTAAAACCAAAGAAAATGTTCAAAAGTCACACTCACAATAAGACAGGAAATCAATCAAAATCAAGGAAGTCAGGAGGCAGCAGTAAAGCAGCAAAGACTGTACAAAGTGTTCAATGTACAGAAAAAAAGCAAATCACTAGTAGACAAATTCAGATGTGGATAATAACAAGGCAAGAAGCATTGGAAGGGGTTAATTTAGATGAGGACAAGTATCAGAAGTTCCAAAATCTTTCAGGGTGTCTTGCAAATCAACTCCCGAGTGCTTCAGAGCACAAGCAGAAAAACTGGTTTTGAGACTGCTAGTGTCTGTGTGGCATATGGCAGTAGCTTTTATATCATTAATACAGTACTTTCAATTTCTTTCATATCTAAGACCCCATGGATGGAGCTGACAAAGCAGGACAACATACAATGATGGGCGAGTGTACAGAATACAGCAGATATATCTAAGTGTATAGAAGATGTGTGAAAACCACTTCAGGTTTAGCAGTGTCATATGATAAATTCAGAGCTGGTAGTAGGCAGCACACCACTCTAAAGGGTTTTGAGGGGGTGAGAACACATGTAGCTCTTCCTGAACTTCCACATTAGTGGGCTTAAATTTAAACTATGTTTATTATTAAAATTAAAACAAGAATAGAAAGAAGTAAGTCAAGACAATTTAAAGACATAAGCAGCACACTTTACTTCACAACACTCAATTTCATCTTTTTTTTTTTTTGCTACTTTTGTCCTGACAACTCTAAACGATATTCAACTGTAGTGTCTATAACAATAAACATTCCTTATACTTTACCTTTATGACAAGCATATCAATAACACGGATATCTTGGACATGACGATTCTTTTCAAATTCCTCTCTTAGCTTCTGACGACACTGTTCTGTAGTCTTTGGGATGTCATAGTCCATAACTGTTAAAAACATGCAGGATCAATGAAGATAAAAAACAAAGCATTTGCTGCAATAATACTAATCATGTACTGAGAGTTGAAACATACATTACTTAAATGAATAATCATATAAAATCAGACAGTCTTTTACAAAATGTTCTGTAGCTAAACTATCCCACCTTATCTTTATTCAACTTTGACTAAGTATACATGCCCATCAGGCATACACTTGTGCACTCTATAGTATACATATCTCCTTTTACTGTAACTGTTTTATTGTAGCTGCTTTAACTTTTAAGGTTTAAATAATAAGATATTACAAGGACCCCAGTAGAAATAAGTCACTTCAACTTTTTTGGGGTTATCCTAGGTAATCTACATGTGTACCTATATCTGAATAAATTTACTAATTCTAAGCCCTAAGGCTATATCTGTAAGACTGCAATTGGTCCCACACACACGATACAATAAATAACTTCTGACATACCCTGAGTACAACTTAATGTCAAAACTCATTGTAAATATGTACTTAAAATATAGAACAGCTTTCCAATAGCAGTCAAAGTGTAAAGAAGGCTGCCTGCTCAATTTAATTAGTCTAATAGTACAGTGGAACCTCAAATTTCGAACTTAATCCGTTCCAGGAGCTAGTTCTAAATTCGAAAAGTTTGAAAAGGTAAGCAATATTTCCCACAAGAAATAATGGAAATACAATTAATCCGTTCCAGAAACCCAAAAATATTCACAAAAAAAAAAAAACATTTTATAGAGATCAATTATAGTTTTACATACACCCTCTCTCAAAAATCTTCGAAAAATTAATTCATAAACGAATCTACTCCTACCTTATCTCCCAAAACATACTCAACCCCTGCCAATTTGGATTCAGGCCTAATAAAAATACTAATGATGCTATTATACACATGCTAGAACATATATACACTGCAATAGAGAAAAAAGAAGTCCCACTGGGGATCTTCATTGACTTACGTAAAGCTTTTGATACAGTTTGACCATGACTTGCTCCACGTAAAATTGTACACACTATGGTATAAGAGGGCACTCCCTCAACTACCTCAAGTCATACCTCAGCAACAGAAGCCAATATGTGTATGCAAATGGGGCAAACTCTTCTGCACAACCAATTACAGTTGGTGTCCCACAGGGAAGTGTCCTTGGCCCTCTTCTCTTTCTCCTATACATAAATGACCTACCAAATGCTTCGCAATTACTCAAACCCACACTATTTGCAGATGACACTACATACGTCTTCTCCCACCCGAGCCCAGTCACGCTAGCCAATACTGTAAATACTGAATTACAGAAAATATCTACCTGGATGAGGACTAACAAACTTACACTAAACATTGACAAAACTACTTCATTCAGTTTGGTAACAGAGCTACAGATGTCCCTCTTAACATAATGATAAACGGATCACCTATCACAAAGCTAACAGAGGGAAAACTCTTAGGAATCCACCTTGATAATAACTCAAATTTCATACACATATACAACAAATTTCTAAGAAAATTTCCAAGACTGTAGGCATACTATCGAAGATACGGTACTATGCTCCACAGTCACCCTCCTGGCCCTATATCACTCTCTTATTTACCCCTATCTCACCTATGGAATTTGTGCATGGGGCTCAACAACAAGTAACCATCTCAGACCACTAATTACCCAACAAAAGGCTGCAGTTAGAATGATAACAAATTCTCACTATAGGCAGCACACTCCACCAATATTCAATACACTAAACCTACTCACCATACAAAACATCCATACTTATTACTGCACCTATTAAACATAGAACACTTAACTCTGATATTAATCCTCCCCTCAAACATCTCGTTGCCAACCTCAACAGAACACATGACCATAACACAAGGCACAGATCACTCTTTGATGTTCCTCGTGTCCATCTCACACTAACAAAAACTCAATGCACATAAAAGGCCCTAAAATCTGGAATTCATTACCTGTAAATATAAAAGAAACACTACCTGTTTATAAATTCAAGTCCTCTTCTCAAAGATCACTTACTCACCCAAAACCAAATAAATACTGAATAACTGAACCTTATAAATTGTATATCTTAAATGTTTCTCACAATTATATCACATAAATGTTAAAAACCCAAAACCCAGTCTAACTTTATTATTTTTTAAATACACTACCTAACAGAATACTCCATTCTACTGAATGTACAACAATGCATGCAACCATATGACCTGTCTTTGTAATACTCACTTGTGCTTTATAGTAATCTGTTTACATTAATGTTTTATCACTGATTTCATCATTGCTTAGTTAATCTTAAGTTAATTTTAAGCCAGCCCGTAATGCTATGCATAGTATAAGTGGCTTTGGCATGCTGCTCTTATCTGTATTTTTTGTACCTCTGTATGTGTGCTCAAATTTTTAATAAATAAAATAAATAAATAAATACACACAACAAATATAGTGTACAATTATGTGTTAATAAATTTAAATAACATATAAAATAACATTTTTACTTACCTTTATTGAAGATTGGCGATGGCATCTGGAAGACAGGGAGGAGGAGAGAGGGAGTTGTGGGTTAGTGTTTGGAAGGGGAATCCCCCTCCATAAGGACTTTAGGTATCAAAGCCCCCTCTGGGGTTACTTCCCTTCTCTGTCTTTTAATGCCACTAGGACCAGCTTGAGTCACTGGACCCCTGTCTCACAAAATAACTGTCCACAGTCCTCTGTTTCTGGCACCTCTAAGATTTCCCTAAAATGGGATATGGTTGTCACTGAACTTGTTGCAAAGATGGCTTGTTTCAGCTTGCTCAGGGTGGTACAGGTCTCCCTCAACATTCACGTTTTCAACTTTCACGGGCTTCACACATTCGTGAATTCCCAACCGCCAAATTCCCAGCCACCAAATTCCCAGCCGCCAAATCATATTTAAGTTTCCCGCCACCTGCGAGTCTCTACTACCCTCCCACCGACCCCCACAACTGGCAGCCAGCCCTCCCACCACTCAGTGTGGTGAGTGTTTTGTTTGTTCATTATTTGCTATTAAACTACAGTATAAATAATGTATACCCATTCATGACTGCATATTGGAATGGCTATTCGGACAGGTATTAGACGGTGACATCATGTGTTTACCCTTGAACACTGCAAAGAATTAAACATTTCTGCTACAGCTAATAATAACAATAATAATAATAATAATAATAATAATAATAATAAATATGATATAATTGAAGAAGGAAATTGTACAAAAATACGAGGGAGTGGTTGACACATCGTCAGTGTGACTGTTCATGCTGGAGTGAACATTAGTCTCCCTGCTCTTCCAAACATTTCACAATAATTCATTGTGTTTGGTGCTTGTAGATTGAGTGTGACTGGAGTGGTAGAGGCAGTGATTGAGGAAATGGTATTTAATAACATACATGTTAATAATAATACATGTTATTAATAATATGTACTATTAATATTTATAACATATATGTTATTAAATACATACATATTAATAATAATACATGTTATTAATAATAACATGTACTATTATTATTTATAACATATACGTTATTAAATACCACTGCCTCAACTGCTGAATTACTGTGAAATGTTTGGAAGAGCAGGGAGACTAATGTTCACTCCAGCATAAACAAAGTCACACTGACGATGTGTCAACCACTCCCTCGTATTTTTGTACAATTTCCTTCTTCAATTATATCGTATTTATTGTTATTATTATTATTATTATTATTATTATTATTATTATTATTGTTATTATTATTAGCAATAGCAGAAATGTTCGATTCTTTGCTGTTTTCAAGAGTAAACACATGATGTCACCGTTTAATACCTTTCCTAATAGCCATTCCAATATGCAGTCATGAATGGGTTTACATTATTTATTCTGTAGTTTAATAGCAAATAATGAACAAACAAAACACTCACCACACTGAGTGGTGGGAGGGCTGGCTGCCAGTTGCGGGGGTCAAAGGGAGGGTAGTAGGGACTTGCAGTGGTGGAGTCTGTGGTATTTAATAACATACATGTTATTAACATACATGTTATTAAATAACATACGTTATTAAAGCATAACATGTATATATTTAGTACAATTTACGACATTTTCATGTATTTTATGATTATTCATGGCTCAACAAGTTAAGGAAGCAGTATTGTAATATATTTCCCTACAATATATTGGGGCACCAAACATTCACGGTTTTTCAACATTCGCGAGGCTCTTGACCCCCTAACCCTCGCGAATGTTGAGGGAGACCTGTACTTCTTCACAAACATTTGAATGTCATTCCACTTGGCGCAAATCTTAATCTTTGAATCAGCATGCAACTTCCTTGCCTTTTGACAAATAATCATCTCTGAAACACTATCACCTGCCATCTCTTTATCGTTGATCCACACCAGCAACAACTTCTCAACCTGATCGATTGTCTGTGGTCTTTCTTTGGTTTGCATATTAACACCTTTCGCAACATCAGCTTCCTTGATTTGTTCTTTCTTTGCCAGGATAGAAGTGATGGTCGACTTTTTTTCCCATACATCCATACACCACTCTCATACTTCTGTATTATTTCCTTCTTCACATCTATGGTGTTTCTCACTTTCTTTACCACAGGGGTACCACTAGCAAGTTTCTTTGGGCCCATGGTAGCTTATTTCACAGTCCCACAAGCACTAAACACAATGAATTAATCGTAAAATGTTTGAATGAGACTGCAGGTTAGTGTTCACTCAAGCATCAACAAAGCCAGACCGGCTCACAGCGCCTGCACGGGGACACGGACAGAGTGGACTGGCTGACAGGTCCGGTACCCGGCAGTTCAAAAAAAGGGGCGAGTTCGATAATGGGGAAAATGTTGGTTCGAAAAAAGCGGTCGATTTTCGAAGAGTTCATTAAGCGATACGTTCGAAATTTGAGGTTCCACTGTAAAACAATTATCAGGACAGCATATTGTTCAAGGGATGTTCCTTGATACTGGGGGAGAGGTTCTTGGCCCAAG